AATGGTTCATTCGGAAATAAGAAAGAATGAAACCATGCCATACAATTCCCTTTTCGGACATGTTTTTTTCCATTTCGGTTAGGGTTTTTTGTGGGCAAATGATTCTATTAGATTATGAAAACACATAGGTTTGATTATACACTACTAATCCAAAAGACAACACAGTCTTTGGCAGCTAATTTTGTTGCAGATCTTGCTAGATTATAAGCTTCATTGTTTGCTTCTCGTTGGATGACCGTCAACTTGCACTGAAAAGTGGGAGCAAACCAAGTGTTCTTTGTCATCGATCTATGTTGCAATGGACTGATGCCTACAATCGCAAAGACGTGCTTTTCGTCGATTAAGTGAATGGTGCATAGTACCTTTGAATATCCGCAAAACATCACCTAATTAAAGCTAAGTCTTTTTATTTGCAAGACAGCTTCTCTGAGAGCCAATGGTTTGAATCATAGGGGTGAACACAGCTGCAAATTCAATCAGTTAAGCCTCATTTCGTTGATTTTGTTACACATGTATATATATATTAACGATATAACGGGTATATACTGATATTGTGAATAATACAGTGAAGATTGTCGTTTATGTATGAATGTGAAAATCTGTTTTTATGACATAATAAAAGCTGGCTTGAAGAGACATAAGGAGAAAGGTGTTAATCGAATTTTCTTACGTACCAACATTTCAATGTCCATGACCTCATTCATGATGATTCATGCATGGATAATGCTTATTTATGCATAGAAGAGAGGACATTTTAGTGTCGAATTTTCATTATTTGTTATTGATAACGCTAATTAATGCATAGAAGAGGACATGCTTTGCCTTTTATTCTCTTTCGTTGTACTTAAAAGATTTTTTTCGTTGTTGGATCTAAATGATGAAAAATCTGGAATATATATCTTTGTAAAAAACAAATGTGGTAACTTTGGACCAAAGTTGATGATGTCATTGATGTAAAGGATTCGGGCAGTTTAGTCAATGACATCAATTGCTTCTCTGAAAACAATTTAGTCAAAAGGTTTAGGTACGGCACTTTTGGTTCTCTTAATTCCACATTATTACCTTCTAGTTTTTTGGCCTTTTTTCTTACTTTCTTGATTAATTAAAAAGAAATTGTGCAAGTGCTAAGAGTAAAAGTTTATCTAATGGTGGACTATATTGCCTACGACTACTTGTAAGATTATTTATTAATTGCCAAAATTTAGAAAGAACAAGTGTATGAGTGGGTTACGAATAATTGCATTTAACTGTTTAAGAGAACATTATTACTCACATGCGTTACATTTTGAAAGTGGAAGAAATAATGGATGAGATATACACCTAAAATCTTGCAAAAGGAAAGGTGTGAGTTAGTACTAATTTAGTAATGCATATTGACCGAGGTCAGTTGGGCCGGTTTTGGAAATGTTGAGGGGATATTGGAACATTTAATAACAAGTGCATAACACTCAAGATCCAACATCACAGTCATAAATTTAAGCTTAGACACAGTTTCAAGGATCAATATCCTCTTGGCATAGGAGCTACTGCACATGTCAGATAGATGTTCAAATGACGATACACTTTTTTTTTTTTTTGAAACTTAGTCATGAGCGTGAATTGTAGAAAAGAATCAGTGACCAACCCGCGTTATGCTAATTTTTCTTAAGATAAAAACTACCAAACAAGAACCACCTTAAACCGGTATTGGTTGACAAAAAGAAAAACCAGCATTGACTCAAATCAATATACTATTTAATTAACTAACCGAATCTTTAGTGTAAAAATTAAACAATGTTATTTTCGTAATTTCGGATCCAATTGGCTTCTAACGGGTGGTAGAAATTTTGAAAAATGAGCGGCTGTTTTACTTATTTGAAATGTTATAGTATCAGGGGTATTTTAGTAAATATAAATCAATTGGTTAAACGGTTAAATATACAAAATCAGGAGCCTCTGTTCTCCAGTTTCCAGATTGTTCCCCTCTCTCTCTCTCTTTCCCTGAAGATCGCTCTTAGGGTTTTTAGAATCCGAAGAAAATTCTCTCCTTCTTCAACCTCTCGCATCTACAGTTTCAAAAACGTTATTCCACAAGCAGTTACATGTTCAGATTTGGGAACGAACCATGCTTTTATATGGAATCGTTTGCTCCGATGATGAAGATCATTCCGCGATGGAATCTGGACCTTTGAATTTAGGTATCGAAACTTTTCCTCACCCTCTAATTGTCTGGGTTTTGATTCATAACTCACTTTAAGATCATGGGGGTTTGTATGAATTTTGAATTGAAGAAGTTGTTTCTTAAGTTAGCGATCTTAAATTTCTTGCGATTTGAAGAAATTGTTTTCTTACGTTAGCAAAAGTTCTATTTTTCTAAGTTGGGTTGTTCGTCTAGAAGCTATCGTTTTGTCCAATTCGCTTGTAAGAGTTTTTCTTCTACGCGATAGGATCATGAACTGGTTGATTTACCAAATTTCAGAGCTTTTTTGTTATTGTTTTTTTTATTTCTTGTGACATAGTCGGTTATATTGCAGGTAAGCATAATTTAATGTGCTGGATCTATCGAGGAGATAATAAAGAGATTTGATCAAAAATCTTGAAAGGTATAATAATTTTGGTAGCTAATATTTGTTAAGTAGTTTTGATGAAAAATTCAAAACGGATATAACTGATGGCCACTGATTAGAAAGAATCATACTTGTTGGTGTCTGTGTGATGTTTTGTTGGTGGTTTCTTTCGAATGTTGTACATGTTTTTTGTATCTTATCGACTCATTGTAGACATTTCTCCTAAAGGTACTACGAAGGTTTTGGGGATTTATGCATTCCCTCATCAAGATTGAATATATGAGCATGCAGCCAAAGTTTTAACTATATATATCCACCCTTAATAAGGTAAGTAATAACTTTATTTCTTAGCTATAATTTGTTTTGTATATCTTATATTGTGGTAATAAAATGTCTCGGTTTCAGGAGGGTAGGTTTTGATGCCGAAACAAACAATGGTTAAGGTGAAGTATAC